CGCCCCGCGCCCCAACCTCCCCACCATGTCCTAGAAAAGGTGAGTGCAGCGACACTTTGCGCGGACAGCGGCGGGAGGGGACCTGAGGAGTGCAGGGTCCGCGCAGAGGGCGCGGGGTGGGTGAGCCGAGGTGGGCTGCGGGCAGGAGGCAAGGTGCCCGCCGGGCCGCCGCCTGGTCGGGGTGCTGAGTGGCAGGCGGGCGAGCGATCGAGGTGGCTGTCCCTGCACGGTTCTAACCTAGATTTTGCAAGAAGCCGATATCCAGGGCAGGACCAGCTCTCCGTAAAGGAGGTAAAAACTTAGTAACACAGACACGTCCATTCCTTTAATGATGAATAATTCGGCAGCGCAGGTTGAGCCGCCGCCTCCTCGCGCGCCGGGGCGCTAAGTCCCGGGCTCCCCCAGCTCCTGCCTGCCGCCCGCGCTCGGCCCGGGTGCGATCGATGCCCGACTACTCGTCTGGCCAGGAGAGCGCGCGTGATGGCGGGCCCCGCGGGAAAGTTGGAACACTTGGCTGGGACTCCTGGCTGCGGGGGGGTGGGGTGGGGGCGCCAGGGGCCGCTCGGCGCAGGGGAGGGACTGCCGAACACCTGAGTCGGGGGTCGGAACCAGGTCTCCCGCGCCGCCGCGGTCGCACCGGCTGCCAGGGAGTTCCCTACCTGAAGCGGCTGGGAGTTCGAGTCTTCTTGCGTTCGGGGTCTGAAATCCCTAAGCTTAATGAACTGTAAGGCGAGGAGGGGCCTCTGGGCACGGGGTGCACGCTTCCCCCACCTTCCGACTTACGTGGAGTGCGGGCCAAGGGTGAGGCGGGAGGCTGCACAGCTGCCGGCGCCGGGCTACGGGTCGCCGCGGGCCGGGGACCAGATTTAGGTGTGTACGTCACTGGTGCTGACTCCAAGCCAGCCCGGAGCCTAAAACCGAGCCTCAAACGCGGCGCCTCAGTCCTTTGAAATCAAAGTTAAAGAAGTCCATCCTTTTGCTTAGTAACTACAGCGTTTGGGTGGCCAGGAGGAGAGTCCAGGTGGGGGCGGTTGGAGGGAAACGGAAATTTCTTTTCGTAGACGCTGGATCCTTAGAAAACAGTTTGGTTCCTTCTCCCCTTCTTTATGTGTCTCCCAATTATGTGCACTCCTCCCACCCATCATAAAGTGGACATCCTGGACGGTAAGCTTTCTTTCAAATTGAACTAGTGGAAAAATCCAATCCTAAAGTAGTAAATACAGCAACAAAATTATAAGAGAGCACAGTTCTTACCCTGGCACTTTTTTGGGGGTGGGGGTGGGGTGGGGGTGGTGAGCGGTTCTGTTTAAAGAGCTTGGCTGCACTGAAATCACCCGCTTTTCCTGTACGGTTAAGACAAGGAAATTCAAATCGAATGGGAACGTGATCCTTTTGCTTGCTGGCAGCGGCTGCTGCGGCTGCTCTGCGAGAGGTAATTTGGTAGACCCAGGAAAAGGGGCGTGGAGAGGACTTAAGGGGTCGGGTGAAGCCCCACCCCGGGGGTCCTCCCCTGCACGCGGACGCTGAGGGCGGTGCCTGGGCCACGGCTGCCTCTCACCTGGCGCTGCAGGTGGAGAGCATTAGGTAGGGGATAACACCTTGACTGGCTATCGGAAAAACCGACTTCTTCCGCGTCACCACACTTTGCATGTCTTTCCAGATATCTTAGGGTCAGCCAGGAGAGCAAGGTGGGCGCCAGCAAGTGAGGGGCGGTCGAGCGAGGGGGACGAGGGTCAACGTGCGGAGCGTGCCTACCGCCCAGTGTCGTAGCCGCTATCGGGCACCCCAAACGCCCGCCGCTGCTGCGGCTTTAAGGAAGCTGCCGCGTTCAGGCTGTGTCGCAGCAACTTTGTATCAGTCATGTCGCCCTCCTGGTGACTGACAGCCGGGATTGCCCAATGAGAAGCCCGCCTGACCCATGCAGCGTGGAAACTTGCTTCCCTCTGGGCCAATGGGAAGGGCTCATGGGGGCGGGATAGCAACTTGAACTTTATCTGGGCATGTGACCCGCTTTTAAAAGCTCCAGGGCCGGCCCACTCCCCCTCCGGGCTTCCACCCGCCCTCTCTCCCTCGCTCATTTCGCCCGCCCAGGCCCTGCCCCTACCCCTAGCCCTGCCCCGTCTTCTCCGCCCCTCCGCGCCCGGGGTGTCATTGGACTAGGGAGACGCAAGCCAACTTAAGGCTGCTTGGAGGAAGCCCGTGCAGTCACCTGGGTGCAAGAGCATTGCCGCCTCCGGCTCTCCCGCTGCAAGGGGAGCGGCACTCGCTGGCCTGGATGTGGTTGGATTTAGGGGGGCTCCGCAGCAGGAGTGTCGTAGCGTTGGCGAGTGCTGCAACAGGTAGACGCCTGGAGACGGACCCCGGCCGAGACAGGTGTGTAAGGGGTGCGCGGCAGGGCGCCTCTTGCCGGCCTGGGCGTGCGGCCGCGGCGCGGGAGCGTGCACTTTGCAGGGAGAAGTGGCTGCGTAATTCGGAGGCACAGTCAGTATGGTGCTGTGTGCTTGTTGTTTTGTTTTGGTTTTCCACTTTTCCCCCCCTTTGGCCGCCAGAGGACTATTTTGGGAAAGTTGGGCCACTTTGGATAAATGCCCTCTAACGAGCAGCTTTCAGCCGCCTTTGGCAGTGGGAGGTCTACACCACCCTTCCCTTTCCCCAAAGATGAATTTTGAGTCGTTTGCCTTGTACAATTTTTAAAGGACGTTTGAATAATGTATCTTTCCTCTGTCAATTGCGGAAGCACCCAAATCTCAGCTGGAGGTGTAGCTTATTAAGGGCAGTTGAAGGAGATAGAATCCTGATAGATCCTGTATGAAAGGGGCTCTGGAAATGCGTGCATTCCCCGGCCCCCGGGATTCACGAAACTCTTGAGAGAGGCAGTGCTTTCTGTGGCATCAGTTGGGAGTCTAAAGGCAGAAGAGAAAGGATGAAGCTGCTTTGGGTGGCATCCGCACTCCTACTGATTTTAGGGGCATGGCTTTTCCTCCTGAATTTTAAAAGACCAGGTTTAAATTATGATTTACGGCACCATCGGTTTTAACTCTTATAACATAAAAGTTAGGAAAACTTCTGATAGCAGACAAGTTTTTGAAGCCGCTGAATTTCCAGGGCTCTAAATTGCCTTTTAACATTTGTATTGCCATTTCTGTAGGTGCTGTTACTGATGAGATTTACACAGTTACGATAGCGTTCTCCATCTGTGAAGTTGTGCTGTGAAGTTTTAATTTTATGTTTGACTTCATGGCATGCTATCATGGCGATGCTTGAGGAGAGAAGTTTTGAAAAATAACCTAAAGGCGAGCTTTTTCCTTTAAGGGAGAAATAGTTTGGTTTGGGGATTTTGGAAAGATCAGGTGGCTCAGTGAATTAGGTGAGTGAATAGAAATCAGGTGTGCTCAGTTCTAACTGGTTCTCCGGCTCTCTTAGGTGACCTTGGGCAGGTTTCTATCATTTACCTCATCTATAAACGAGGGGAACATAATAATGGTTCTGTAGTGGGGATGACAGAGAAATAGTTACATACAACAAACTTTTACAACTATGTTACCAGTGAAAATTGTGAAATTTTTAAGGTTCTGGTCCCTAAGATGCCGTGTTATAATGAAATTACTATAGAAAACGATACATTTAAAATGAGCCTATGTTTGGGGAGGATGTTAAAAGTGAAAGTGTTTTCAGATAAAATACAAATTTGCTAGAATCTTTGTTAATATTCCTGAAAACAACTACTTCCTTATGGAAAGGGGCAATTTAACACAGGCTGTAAAACATAAAATTTTAAAGCCAGATTTTTCTTTTGTAAAAATAGTGTTTAAGACCATATATATGATTTAAAGTATAGCGTCTAACAGTGCTTTTCCTTTTCTTACTTGAAATTTCCTTTATGTTTGTGAGGAGGCCATTTGCATGAAAATTAAAGGGTCATAAGGGTTTTGGTCTTTGTCCCAAGAAAGTCTCTGTTATAACCCTCACTGTAAAGGACACATGTTTGATTTCATATGAGCTAGATTTGTAGACCAGTATTTTATATGCTAGTAACAAAAACTTGCCTTTTCCCTCTGGCTAGAAGTTCTATGAGAATCCCATTCATCAACTAATATTTTTAGTTTTCACTAGTTAGGTTCAAGTCGCCTGAAATTCTGCTCCAGACTTGGTCATTATGCCAATTCCAAAAGGACAACCTGGGTTTCCTGCACAACATAGGAAATAAATTCCTAACCTGATTGATTTGTTTACAGAGAAGACTAAAATAATAGGGAGAATTCAGCAATAACGTATTTCAATAAATCTAGTTGTTTTTTTTTTAAACCTAATCTTTAAAACTATTTGCAGTGAAAGCCATGCAGATGCTAGATGTCCTCCATTCTTTCGTGTTTTTTGCCAACCTTTACTCTATTTTCTTTGTCGAGAGGTGCATTAGGTTGGTAAATGAGGAGACTGCCTTAATCAAAGCTAATTTAGATTTCAGCAAAGCCTTTTGCAAATTCTTTAATGATAGCCCTGGCCATAATGTGGTGAAATGCAGGTGATTATATGGTATTGTTAAGGGAGTTTAAGGCTAGCTAAACAGGACTCGGAAAGTTGCGATCAGGTGCTTGCTTGTAGGGTGTTTTAAGATTGTCCTTATTGGCCATCTGCCTGCCATACAGATTCTCTTCAAATCTTCATGTAGCCTCAGAAATCTGAGACACGGCTTCTGCTTTAGGGCAGAAGGATGAAGAGCGTCCCTCAGAATATTAGTAGGTGTTCTATGAAAAAAGGGCGCATGGTCAAATTGTTTAGGGAGCGCTGGGTTACAGAGGAAACAGGTTTCTGTACTGCAGAACTGCCCAGGAGTTTTAGCATGCAGACTTACCCTGTGAAACTTCAAAAAAGCAGTAAGTGGTGATCCTTTCCAAAAGACAATCTGGAGAATGGATTATTTTGGAGAGGGACCTGCATGGGGATCCCCCTTTAGACTCAGGGCAGATAGGCCTGTTTCCTGGGACCTGGGGAGCCAGAATGAGGCTGCAGGTGGGGACATGGGGAGGGGTAAGCGAATGGAGGCCTTCAGTAAGGGTGCCTAGGCAACAGTGACTTCCAAGCATTTGGGTCGAGGGTGGTGCAGTTTACCAAGACAGGGCATGTGAGTTTAGGGACAGGGTTGTGGGGAAGGGAGGTGGTACAAAGATGGGGTTCAGTTTTGAACATATTTCTTGTAATGTTTAATGAATTTGGAGCTAAAACATCTGTACTTTAGTTATACATCTGTTGAAGTTTGCTATGGAGAGGACAGAATATTCTTAGGTAGAAGTCAGAGAGGCACATAATATATACTGGTATTTTTCCGCCTGTGGCTATGACTAAATGGTTTTTCAGTAAAGTAGAACATACCAATATTAGCCACTTAGGTTCCATTTCACTTGTATAGTTTTTTTTCAACTTTTACCTGGCTTTTATCCACACTAAATTTTTTTGGCTGCAATTACCAGATAGCCGCCTCAACTTTTGTCATTTGATTTATTTTTCCAGTGTTTTGTGATTGATTTATGATTAGGAATTTATAGAATGATGTTCTTTAAGTAAAAGTAGACTACGTAATTGGTATATTTTAATGCTCACAAATTACTGAGTATTAATTATACTAGTTCAATTTTTTTTTTCCACTATGCTCTCTTCTTGGGATGCAACTGGTAAAGTTTCTGCCTTCTGGGAACTTAAAATGTAGTGTAGAATATAGAAAAGTAAGAGGTAATTAAAATATGCAGACAATTTAGGCATTAAATTTCAACATAGAGCCTTGTGATAGCTGTTGCCAATTTATTTAGTAGAGTCATCATTATTTTTTCGTGTTAGTTAATATAAGTTCTGTAGCAAAAGGACTTCCTAGTCTCTCTCTTTATTTTTTTTTAACAAGGGGAAGCACGGAGGTAGTGAGTGGCAAAGGGAGGTAAGCAATGACAGGCTGAAAGTAATATTTGTGCACAGAAGTGCAGAAATTGCATCTTTTAGATCAGGGCCTTTGGGTCATAGATTGTTTACACAACTGGAAGGATTTGAAAAAGGCATGCATAATAATTTTAGGAGTTTTGTATATGAAAATGCACAAATAAAATTTTTACTGAGAATGACTTAATTTTCTTAAGAGTGGTGGTTCTCAATGGGGTCAGGGTGGGGGGTGATTTTTTTTTCTCCTAGGGACATTTGTCAATGTCTGGAGCCATTTTTGGTTGTCATAATGGGGGAAGAGGGCGTTGTTACTGGCATCTGGTGGGTAGGGGTCAGGGATATGCTAATCATGTTACAATGCACAGGGCACCCATCCATAACAACGAATCATCAGGCCCAGGAATGTCTATAGTGCCAAGGTTGAGATAACCTTGGTGCAGAGAGAGACATGGCATCAAATTCCTGCTCTGCCACTCAGCTGGGTGCCCTGTGCCTCAGTTTCCCCACATGTATCCTTTGGATAATAGTGTTGCAAATCTTAAAGGGTTGTTTATAAGGGTAAATCAGTTCATCTGTGTAACAGGCTTATAATATTTCATTGAATGATATAATGCCTAAGAATTATATAAATACAGCCTCTTGTAATTATTGTGTTGATGAAATAAATTTATAGAGAAAGCCAACGGATGGGGACTGTGCCTGTTTTGTTTATCACCATAGATTCAGTGACTGGTTGTAGGCCCAGGATGTGGCACACACTTGGTAAATATTTGTTGAATGAATGAACACATAAGTTGTCAGGACCCATCTCGAACTTCCTCCATTTACTGTTGAGAATGAAACTGTCTGTTGGAAGTCTTTTTAGCAGAGGTACCACTGGGTCAGGGCGTGTCAAAGTCCTCCCCAGTACTGAAACACAGAGAGGAGAGTCCTGACATCCCTGCGTTTTCCTACAGCCCCTCTGAGCTGTGGACTACTTAGTGAGGATCTATGAACCTTGACTTTTCAGAATTGACATTAAATCACCTTCATCACTAATCCATTTTAATAAAATCTTATGGTTTTAAAAATCATTCTTAAATTGTTTTCCCTGTGATAATTTAGTTGATAACTTTATATTGGGAAATGGTAACGTTAATTGTATTTCCTTATTGTTTTTAATAAAGCCATGCCTTCTATGTGGAAGTCAGCTTCCCTAGGCTCGAAAGATTCCAAAGGCTTTCCAGTTAGAAGATGTAGTTTTAAACCTGGCTCTGTCACTTATTAGGTCTTTGACCTTGGGGAAGTCACCCACCTCACTCAACCCTGTTGTTTTTTTCTGCCTCATCCTTCCCGAGGGTTACTTTGAATATTAAGTAAGTTAATATTTATAAATGTGCTGTGCAAACTCTAAAAAACTGCATTATAGCAAACATGTTACTTTTATTTTGGCGCGAAACAGTATAGGATTGCTTCTGGACAAATTATGGTCAATACTCTGTTATATCGGCACCTAAAAAGGTAACAGTTTTAATATAGTGTTGAAGTGTTGCTTATAGTTAAGTAGAATGTGTATTTATAGCTTAGTAAATGCAATTTTAGAATGCCTTTTCGAGTAGTATTGCTATAAATGACTCTAATTCAATGTTTCGTGTCTTTTTTTTTTTTAATGTGAATTTGTTAGCTATGGAGACCAAAGGCTACCACAGTCTCCCTGAAGGTCTAGATATGGAAAGACGGTGGCGTCCAGTTTCTCAGGCTGTGGAGCACTCTTCCCTGGGACCTTCAGAGAGGACCGATGAGAATAATTACATGGAGATTGTCAACGTAAGCTGTGTTTCCGGTGCTATTCCAAACAACAGTACTCAAGGAAGCAGCAAAGAAAAACACGAACTACTCCCTTGCCTTCAGCAAGACAATAATCGGGCTGGGATTTTAACATCTGATATTAAAACCGAGTTGGAATCTAAGGAACTTTCAGCAACTGTAGCTGAGTCCATGGGTTTGTACATGGATTCCATCAGAGATGCTGACTACACCTTTGATCAGATCCAACAAAGAAGCATGAGTCCAGCAAAGATTTATCAAAATGTGGAACAGCTGGTGAAATTTTACAAAGAAAATGGCCACTGTCCTTCCACGCTAGGTATGAGCAGGCCCTTGAGATCATTTATGTCCGACTCTGGGAGTTCCGTGAATGGTGGGGTCATGCGCACCATTGTCAAAAGCCCTATCATGTGTCATGAGAAGAACCCGTCTGTTTGCAGCCCTCTGACCATGACGCCTTCAGTCTGCAGCCCTGCTGGGATCAGCTCTGTGTCCTCCACCTCGGCTAGCTTTGGCACTTTCACAGTGCACAGCCCCGTCACCCAGGGGACTCCCTTGACATGCTCCCCAAATATTGAGAATCGAGGTTCCAGGTCGCACAGCCCAGTACATGCCAGCAACGTGGGCTCTCCTCTCTCAAGTCCATTAAGTAGCATGAAATCCCCAATTTCCAGCCCTCCGAGTCACTGCAGCGTGAAATCTCCAGTGTCCAGTCCTAATGTCACTCTGCGATCCTCTGTGTCTAGCCCGGCGAATATCAACAACTCAAGGTGCTCTGTTTCCAGCCCTTCCAACACAAATAACAGGTCTACACTTTCCAGTCCAACCGCGAGTACTGTGGGATCTATCTGTAGCCCTGTAAACAATGCCTTCAGTTACACTGCTTCGGGCACCCCTTCAGGAGCCACTGGAGCCCGGGATGTGGATCCCATTCCAGACACACACGAGAAAGGTGCTCAAGAGGTCCCCTTTCCTAAGACCGAGGAAGTAGAGAATGCCATCTCCAACGGGGTGACGGGCCAGCTTAATATTGTCCAGTACATAAAACCGGAGCCGGATGGAGCCTTTAGCAGCTCGTGTCTAAGAGGAAATAGCAAAATAAACTCTGATTCCCCGTTCTCAGTACCAATAAAACAAGAATCCACCAAGCATTCGTGTTCAGGCACCTCTTTTAAAGGGAATCCGACGGTAAACCCATTTCCATTCATGGATGGCTCGTATTTTTCCTTTATGGATGATAAAGACTACTATTCTCTATCAGGAATTTTAGGGCCACCTGTGCCTGGCTTCGATGGTAACTGTGAAGGCAGCGGCTTCCCCATGGGGATTAAACAAGAACCAGATGATGGGAGCTATTACTCCGAGGCCAGCATCCCTTCCTCTGCCATCGTTGGTGTGAATTCAGGTGGACAGTCCTTTCACTATAGGATTGGTGCTCAAGGTACAATCTCTTTATCACGATCAGCTAGAGACCAATCGTTCCAACACTTGAGTTCCTTTCCTTCTGTCAGTACATTAGTGGAGTCGTGGAAATCTCACGGTGACCTGTCATCTAGAAGAAATGATGGCTACCCAGTCCTAGAATACATTCCAGAAAATGTATCAAAGTAAGTTGGCCTTTCTTCCTTTTCTAAAAATCATGGCTTTATAAAGTGTTGAAGGGTTAGCATTATCTTTACTGTTGACAAATTGAAACACGTTTCAGTTTGCCGTTTCATTTATATTTTCAGGATGGTCATTTGGTGCTCCCTCACTGCTCTTTAGTTTAATGTTAGTACTTTTTTTGAAGTAGAGAAAGAAAAAGTTCTTAAGCTCTCTTGGAAAATGTTGGTGTTGACTTTGAAGGAGCCTGTACAGGTGTTTCACCCTCCCCGCCCGAGGGCCCCGGGCATTGCCTGTTGTAGGTATTTGGAAAAAGTTTGTTTTCTGCTGCCTGCTACTCTGTTTCCTTTAGCAGAGTAGCTGCTAGATTTTTGTTGTTGTTGTTGTTTTCTCTAGCTGGGTACTGGTTCACTAGAATTGCTTTAAATTAGTTTCTTGGTGGTTTTAGTCTTCTCCCCCCACCCCCAACCCCCACTCCCCCCTGGAGCGTTCTCTGTTAATCACTCCATTGGTTGTGAAAAATGAAGTTGAACCCCAAATCTGTTACCCCAAACCTTGTTTTAAGATCTGCAAGAAGGCATACATTCTGTAAAGACAGACTTATTGTAAAATATCTCTTTCCTCGATGCAGACAGCATATTGTATATATTTAGAAGAACAAGGAAGAGATTTTTAGATATGACTAAAGGGTGGTTTCTGAGTTATACAATGGATACTTGTATTGGACTTTGCTTTATTATATGGTTGTAATAAATTATCCCTTTATGGAACATATAAAGAATTGATTTCCTAGATATAGTTCCTTCCTTTGGCATCTAGGCATATAAGAACATTTCCCTTAAAAATTTATTTTGTGGGAAATATGTCCATCTCATGAACAGGATTTAGGGTTTACATATCTTCCTCCTTCTATTTTGTTTTTTTTTCCAAACCAGGAGGGTGTTACTTTCCTTGTCATTTACTCAAACCTGGCTCTGCTTGCTTTTATGGAAGCAAACATTCCATAAAAGATACATTCTTACTGTTTTCATCTATTCCATCATGTTTTAATGCTACCTCCATCTTTTAAATTCTAAACTCACACAGAAGTCAGGAGATAGCATAGCTTTCCTCTGAACCAAATGCAGCATGTACTCTACTCATAGTGCTTTGGTTTTTCTTTTAGAGAAGGAAATGTGCACATGATGTAGATATTTCCATAAGTAATGTTTTATCAGTGAGTTGCTGTGAGTGAGTATAGTCTGGTAGTTAAGAGCAGGGCTGCCCTGGTTGAAATCCCAACGGTGCCACTTAATTGCTGTGTGTCTTTGTGCACATCCCTTTACCTCTCTGGGCTGTAGTTCTCTTACCTGTAAAAAGGGGATTAAATAGTACCCATCTCAAGGGCAGTTTTGACAACTGAGTTAGTTTATGAGAAGCACTTTGAATATCATGTGGTATGTAGCATATATGATACACATTTTAGCAATTATTGTTAAACATTAGTGTTTTTACAATGTTTAGTTTCCATTTTTTTAGTTCTTTTTATATATGAAATCCAACAAAATAATTTTAAAGAAGTGTTATGTATGTAGTTAAAAGATATATTTGTTGATAATTCTTGTTATTAAATTCTCATATATATATACACACACATACAGAGGTATATATATATATATATATATATATATATATATTATATGTGTGTGTGTGTGTGTACATAGTTAGGCACCATACATTTGCTACTATATTTCTATTTTTGCTGTTTTAGTTTTGGAGGCTATTGCTTTGGGTGATGATATTTCTGGGAGAAATACCAGAGCTATAGTGGCTAAATCATTAATTTGCTCTTATGTTTGATCTGTATCCTGTTTGTACTATTTTAGTTGTAGTTACCACATTCAACTCATGAAGTGCCCCCTGATGGTCTAGCCTTAAACGTATTCATATGAATCAGTGACCTTGAGCTGACCCTGCATTTGTGGGCACTGCAGGTGCTCACTGGTGTCTTTTGTTGAATATTCCAAAATTCTCTATATACGTATTAATATAGTTAGAGCGGACTCATATTGTTTGCATATATGCTGGTATTGTGCTAGTTACTATGTATGCATTTTCCCAAAACTTTAATATCAAAGCTGTAATGTTATTTGAAGTCATCTTTAGATTACTAATTCTTTATAGCTTTTCCTGGTGAATACTTTCCAAATCTATTTGTTTTGATTATTCTCAGAATAAAGGCTCAAATAGCAGAGGATTTTCAGATTGTTTTCTAGATTTCAGCCTCCATGTTATATAATGTTTAATTTAACCTCACACACGCTTCATTCTTGGCCTCTTATTTTGTGTCTTTTGGACCCAAACCCAACCTTCTTGCCTATTTTGTAATTTATAATGATGATACCCCATTTCAGGGAATGTTGAATAAATTAATGAACTAAAGGTTGTAAAGAATCAAGGCAGTGCGTAACTGCTTGTAGGTTTCATTATACCCTTCATCTTTTGGTTGAACTTGAAATTAAACTGTTTTCCAGCAGCTCTCAAAGTATGGTTTGGGGTTCCTGAGACCTTCCCTAGGAGGTTCATGTCGTCAAAAGCCACACATGCGTAAAAAAGATCCATTTAAAGTTGAAGATAGACCAATGAATTTTAATGTAACAACATATGAAAAGTTCACTGATAATGAATTCAGATTCCTCACTGCAGCTAACCTTGTAGAAACTACTCATTGTCAATTTTCAATGGAGTTATCAAAGAATCCTATCTGCAGTTATCTGGAAAGGCCATTGAAATGCTCCGCCTTTTTCCGACAGCATATCTGTGTGAGGCCAGATTTTCTTCATGTACTTGAGCCGAAAACATATCACCATACATTGAATATAGAAGTATATATGAAAATCCAGCTGTCTTTGGTTAAGCAAGACAGGAGACTTGCAAAAATGTAAAACGGTGCCCCCTCCTCTCAAGTTTTCATTCTGAGAAATATAGTGACTTTTTCATAAAATAGGTTGATGCTAACATATAACGACTTATTATTTTGAAATGATTTAAAATAAATACTAGTCTTAATTTCTAACATGGTATAAATATCGGTAGCTATAACTCATAGAAACCCAAGATCTTTGGCATCCTCGATATATTGTAAGAGTGGAAAGGCGTCCTGAGACCCCAAAGTTGAGAATTGCTGGTCTTGGCTATTCTGTACACCCCTTGGAAGCTGATGAAGAAAGAGGATATACTTTATGTGTGTCATTCTTATTGAATGTTATACTAAGGAAGGAGTGCCCTATTCAAACAAGAAAAATGTTTCTCATCTAGATTAATTTTTTGAGCTGATAAAAAATGAGTAATGGCTGTGAAGTGTGTGTGTTGTGGCCTTTTCAGTCTGTGGGCATTCTGTGAGAGCAGTGACAAAAGTCATCTATCTGTTAATAATTTCCAGTGACTGAATTGTCTGATGCTGCAATGTAAATTATGACAAAAACCGAATGTAAAGCTCTTAGGATGGACACTGGACCTCTCTGTGTCATGTAGATTGGCGTTTCCCTGTCAGCTTGTACATAAACAAAACTGTAACCCTGAGTGAGTCACAGCGACTCTCAGCCCCAGTTTCTTCATCTTAAGGAGAACAAGTTGAACTAGATGCTGAGGTCCTCCAGTCCAGCTCTTGAGTGGCCGTGTAGTTTCCTTGGAGTCATGTATGTTAAAAATCAAAATAGAGGTATCCATTAACATATTTGCTGGTGTGGTTTCAAGTGTATTTTATCACAAGTCTAGCTCTTTAGTTTCCAAGGTAATCTGGAGAGAAAACTCATTTACCATTTAAATGTAAAAGTGAGTCGGAGTGAACCTGTCTTTTTACTTTGAAAAGCAGGGCTTTGGAAATAAGATCTTTCCTTTTACCGAATTTGACACTTCCTATGAATTTCTTGTTCTTGTAATTTACACCATTCCTTTTACAAACAGCTTTTTTTCTGTTGACATAACATTGGATGTTTATGGTGACAGCCTTAGTCACTTTGATAGCATCATAACACGGTGCTAACATAGACTTTTAAATATAAAGTTCACCATTTCAAAGGGCATTTTCTGGTAGGTTTCAAGACAAGCAGTCGGGTATGTATTTCAATATATGCTGCATTTTTTTCCATTATAGGATGCAACAATTTAGTAAATAACACACAGTTGTTGTTTTTTATTTTTTAATTGTCCCTACAATCATTTGAAACTCACCTTCTATAATAAACCAAAACCTTCAGAATTCAAGGCATTTGTTGCAAAGTTTGCCCAGTCTCTTAGTAAACTTGCTGAGTAATAAATACACTGAGATGTAAATATCTCTGTGTAATGCCAAGGTTGCAAGAATGATGGGTTTTAGAAGTGAGTGGGAGAGATCGATAGATTATTGGTGATTACTATAATAAATAAATCCACTACAAAATTACTTAGATCATTTGTAAATGAAGACATGGAACTTTCTTTTTTCTAATGATTTATCCATTAATATTTTGATTTTGATTTGGAAGTTGCTGGTGTACCTAGAATTTCTCCAGGTTAGTATTCTAAGTAATATTTTTAGAAATGATTTTGAAAGGAGAGTTGCTTCTCCTGATGATTTACTCAGTTTCATTCATTTATGGTATTTTTGGTAACAGTGGTGATGATTTCATTAAAAAAACACAAATCTTAGTGGTTTTTTAAATCTACAAATCACTATGTATAGTGTGTTTTTATAAATTTTGCTTTGCATATCATAAGTGTCCTAGTTTTATATGCCAGTCTATGTACCTTTTATCATCTGGAGTATTTAGTAAATTTTGAGCTTTTCACTTTGTACCTAAAAAAGCTGAGATGAAACTCATGGTTTCAGTTAAATAAACTCCCGTTTTCAACTTAAGGCTGTTTCCATACCAGTGACATACTGAAAGGAGGATCTGGAGGCTTATCATTTATAGGTTTAGATGCCTTTTGCAATACTGAAATTCTGGGTGCGCCTGTACTTTCTGTCCTTGTAGTATTTAGAATA